TTCTATATTATGTTAACTCATACAACTATATGATAATTTGTTTTGCATTATTTTATTTACTTATTTATTTTTGTACAGTATTTTTACTAGACTTCATTAAGTATGGTAAACTATGGTATTAAATAACTTTTGCAAATCTTTTAGTGCTTATCAAAACGTTAATACTTATTTTTACAATATAGAATCAATGTTTTAAAATTATAATTTTATTAAGTTTAGTGTTAATTTAAATTATTAATTACATTTTATAATATTTAAAAGTTATTGTTTTATTAACTCGTCGAGTACCGGTTTTATAGACACAATTAAAGAACAATAGGTCGCGGTCACCGGTGACCGCTTGGTGTTTGACAGTTTAATATGACTGCATGTTGATCGCATTTAATATACTTCCAAAATGGCAACTATTCAAAAAAAGAGTAAACAAAACAAAATAGTTTGAACATCCAACAATAGAAAAAAAGTGGAACATGTACTTGAAAAAAAAAAGTATTTTAAAAGTATTGTGTAACAATCAGGGTATTTAGGCTAAGGTAAAACTAAATATTATTTTCAGATACCTGACCATCACCTACTAACACATTTAGCTATCGACTCCTGTACTTTGCCAATCATTTTGTCTATTTTAAGAATCCTAAAACTCGCGCGCATATTTCACTTAAATTCGAGAGTTCGCGGGAAATGCCATCGTCCATAGTTCCCTGACCCCGCCCTACGTAATAACATCGGAATGCACAGATGATACAACCCACAAAGGTCTTATTTTCACTTTTTTTCTTTTTTAAAAATAAAACAGTAAGGCATTTCCGGGAATAAAGTGCTAGTACACCTTTTTTATAACAGATAAACCATCTATACGATCATAACTTAACTAAATAACAAAATTAATATAAAGTTTAAGTCAAAAACTTACGGTTTCTTTAAAATCACTACATAAAAATAAATATTTTTGTTGTAAATTTACACACACGTTCACTGCGTTCACAACTTCACTTCGAAATGTCAAACTTTTTTCTGTTTCGGTGTTGCTACTTTGTGTTTCAATTTTACCTTTAACAATTTATCTCTACTTTATTTACCACTTTAAATATTTCCTTTTAATAATTAACACAATTAGTTTTTTTATCCATAATATGTTATAACATCATTATTTTCTGAATATCGTGAATTAAATTAATGCAGCGGTATTACGGGCAATGTTGCCACAAGAATGAATTTAATCTCCCCGAGCGACACTCACGGAATTCTCTGCCAGCTGAGAGGTTCACGTTACCTTTTCTAATTATTATTAGCGGTGCCTAAAAATAGGTCAAACATTTAAAAATGCCTGTTGGCACGCATTGCCGCTGAGAGCGGTCGTAATCGCATTCGCGAAGTGTTGTGTTGAATCAATGTTTATGTGAATTGATATAACCGACTGTGGTTAAAAATAAAAGTATGTTGTGTTACACTCATTTTAACGACTAAAATGTAATTGACAGCAATTATTGTTAGTGTAGTAGTAGTTAATAACATTTAACAGTTCATAATATCGATATTTGTTTGAAAATTAATTTAATTCTTTATTGTTTGTTCAAAACAACGAATTACGTTTCCATTTACTCATTTTATAGCAATAAAGTCACTGTTGCGTTTTTATGGAACATAAACCAGGACAAAGAAATAAAATGGAAATATTTTATTACTAGTAGATAATAAGAATAACTTGATATTTATAGATGTAGCACCTCACGCGTTTATTAGTTACTTCACGCCGGCCGGCTTATTTTTACGAGCCCGTGGCCCGTTCCGGGTTTTATTTGCTATATAATAATATTACGAATGTCGAATGAACTTTTGCTAACAGTGCATACTTTGAAAAGTTTATAATTAAGTAATTCATAGACTCCCAGACTTAATACAAAAGAGCTACGATGATAGTGCTTCATAAAAACTGGGAGCGGTTAATTTAAAGTATGCAGGTACTTCATTTATTCAATTATCTACTAAGAGTGTTAATTAAAGAGATGAGAGCTACTAATAGAATGACTCGCACTGTTTAAAGATTTTTCGTATCGTAGATAATAAGGTAACTAAAGGCGCTGGTAAAAAAGAGGCGCACCAACCAAACTGTTAAAGTATTTGTCTCATATAAATTATGAAGACGAATTTTTTAGTACTTCAATTTACCTATAATTTGTAAATAATAAGTTGATTATATAATTTTATCAGTATATAAGAACTGGAGTGTTTGTTTATTAGCCTGGCTGCGCACTCTGGTATTAGGTACGGTTGGATTTAAAATAATATTTTAACATCCGGCTGCCCAGTTTTTCAAACAGATTATCTGGCCGTCGTCGTGTGAGGAATTTCATAAAATAACCGTGTATGCTTGAAACTTCTTAAGTTTTTCATCTTGAACAGTTGAAACAGTTTTAATATGCAAAGTATGATTAGCAGTGTCATAAGTTCAATACAAGGGATGAGTTTAATAAATCAGTAACAGTTTTCTAAACATACATAGACTGATTTTTGTAATATTTAATAAATTTTTTCGTTATCAAAACTGTTTTATAAATAGTCACTAATATAATTTTACACAGAGGAATAAAAGAGCAAAGGAACAGTAAACATTTTTATTGTAAATATTTTTTATTGTTATCCCCTTACACACGCGATGCACTCAATGGCTTTTCAAAGCTTTTGAAAACTCGCAATGGTGTCCTTACGAAGCTATCGGCTGTTTAAATGTAAGTAGGTATTTTGAAATAGGCACGTTTTATAGTGATATATGGATTCATTGCGAGTTTTCAACATGGCGAAATAATACAAGCTTGTTACTACGCAGTTACATCTTCAGTCGGCTCTTATAATGCACTTAGACACTACAAAACTGACATTTTCATTCTATTGAGCTCTTTACCAACTTAATGTACACAAACTCAAAAAACATAAACGATTTAACATGCCCAGTACACATTAATACAGTTTGAATTCACGTAACTTTTTCATCTTTTTTAGTTGTGTAGGTAGTGGTTGGTAGATCTACAAGGTACTGGCTTACAATTAAAAGTATAAGAAATATACAACTGTTCTTTTAAATAAATAAACTGGGATTAAATAAATTAAAATACAGATGTAACATTGGTTAATATATCAATTTGATTATTCCTTACATTCAATATATGAGCACTACTATCGTTACATGATTACTGTGCCGATACAGTTCTATTTAAAGTGTTTATATAATTTCGTGTTATCATAAAATATTGGGAATAACTACATTCAACTCTATACCAAGTCGTTCGGTGCAGGACTTTAGGATTCACAGTCAATATCTCAATATTTCATTATACTGCGATTTTTATCATTCTCTAATATACTTTCAATAACTTGACGAGCCTACTAATCTGATTTAGAACACGCATTTTGTAATTTTATCCTTATTCATATAAATTTCGAAGCTTCCAAGCTTAATTTTGAACCAACAGTGAACAAAATAACGATAGAAAGGACAAACCAAGTGAGAATAAATAGGTTTTTAGAATAAAGTAAGACAAGTATTCTATTTTCCAAGCCGTTCCGAACAAGACATTAGTAAGGCGAATCAGCATAGCGACTAACCGCTATATTAATCATTAAACTTTCATCTAAGAACTTTAAATTTTCTCCTAGTTCAAAAATTTGTAAGGTGTTTAGCGTAGAAGAATATTATTTTGTTAACAAATATAACTATTAATAGTATTTTTTAGTAAATAGTTATGTATTATTTTGACGACTAATCAAGGTAAAGTGTCGCTAGATTTTTTCATTAGATCTAGAGAGCTTTTAAAATATAGATAAATATACTATAGCGAAAAGTGGCTAACTTGTAAATTTAAAGATGCATTCTTATAAAAAACAAGTTTTACCCAAAAAGCGGGGAGTTTTATTTTTACTTGCAATATTTGAATTCGAAAAATAAATAAGCTGTATCGCGCCTATTTTGTATTTTATAAAAATGCATTGTAGATTTAATAAAGAGATCGAACCGATGTTTTAAAAAGTGGATTTGTTAATTAGAAAAATACTGTTTCTTAGGTATAGAAAGAGTTGCATTGAAAACGTTGTTTTGCTGTTAATGTTAATGTGCTTGTCACTCGTAAATAGAATGAAATATGTGAATAAAATATATGAAGACTTGCAGGAAACTATGTAGTAAAGTCACTTTGAAGATTATAACAAGTCCTAAAAGATATAAAACGTAACTTTGATAAATCGAGAAAGGATTCCTTACTTTCACACATTCACAACCCGCCCCCCCATTCTTTTAATATTTTTTTAAGTACATATAATTTTGTAAATAATTACAATACATCGCGTTAAATATAACAGAATATAACTTTTGCCAAAGCGATATGTTTTCTTATTGTAGCATTTTGTGTATGTATGCGTTCGTAATAATTTAATATATTATATTTTTTTCGAATCGTGTTTATCAAATACTACTCTTAATATACACACGTACGTAATACATTTTTTATTTGCTTCCAATAAACGAATAATGATCCCCTAACTGTACATAAAGCCTTTTTTATAAAAAACAAAACCTAATCCTCGTTTATACTATAATCACACTAAGCTATGATTAACTGGCCACTTATGATTAACACCTAGCGCATTAGACGCCATCTTGATGTGATTTATATAGTTCAAAATGGCGAACATTCTATTTATCGAATGCAAACGATTGTTTTATCATCATCACAGAATAGGTGAGGCTTTTTGTTAATCCATGAATCATAGAACTATTTTAATTTTAAGCAATATGTTTTACTAAAATATTTTAGCTAAAAATCTTGATTGATTTATTTTGTAAGTTACTGCTGAACCTTAGACTGTAATATGATAAAAATTATGTATTAATATTATAGGCACCTATTTTCTTGTATTCTAATCTTAATGCATTAACAAAAAGCTTTGTAATTTCATCTCACATCGACGTAGGCAAAGAAATGTTATTTATGACATATTTATTGTATTTAAAACCAGGACGATGCGCCGCCAAGCTTCGTTGACAGTTCTCCAATACCACGACCGAAGATGTTGCCAACCTAAAATATAAAAGACAGATATTGGGTAAATAAGTGTCACCTGAATACAGTTTGTATACAGTGGTTTAAATAATGATGGTGATGATGAAAAATGCCACCATTATTTCATGCTACCCAATATTAATATACGAAACTTGTACTTTGGAATATCAAAACATAAAGTCGTTTAGTATTTTCCCCGACCTAGTAATCAAACCTGAGCCCCAACTCAGACAATTGCTCAACTTAATTATATAGTAATACTTAGTGACTGGTCTACAACCAATTATAAATATAACTTCGAAAGGAATCCAGTAGGTCCCACTCAGTCTTGTGTGAGTCAATAGTAACCTTTGCAATAACTGAAGTGTAAAAGGTCGCCATAGCGCTTTGACAGCAGAATCTCAATACATTCTACTGAGAATTGGAACTGTTCCAATATACCTGATTTGAGAATCACAGATATACTGATAGTAAATACTTAACGTAACGAAGTTTGTCCATTATAAATATAGAGATATTTAGATAGGCACCGACTTCGTACCTAAATAGTAAGTTATTTGCCAATTATTGTAATAACGTTAGGAATTTCTCCTATATATGCCGCTAAAAATCAAATATGTTTTGCATTAGCTGAGTATCAAAATCAAAGAGCTGTTAACGATAAGCCGGTAAACAAGCTGACGGATCACCTGATCGTAAGTAATCGACGTCGCACATAGACACCTGGAACACCTGAAGCGTTATAAGTGCGTTACCGGTCATTTGGGAATTAGGAGTTTGAGGATTGTTGGGGATTTAAGGATTGGGAAGATAGGCTGAGGGGCAGGGGATAATTGAGCCTCCGGTAACCTCAGTCACATGACGAAACACAACGCAAGTTTCACGTCGATTTTCTGTGAGACCGTGGTATCACTTCGGTCGAGCCGGCCCATTCGTGGCCAAGCATGACTCTCCGACACTTAAAACTCCACTGTCTTGTGTTATTGCAAGTGGCAAAAGTACTGAGATACGTATCATTGCCTTTCTTAAAGCAGCAGGCGCATCCTACTAACATATCATAAAAAAAGGTGGGCCCTAGCTACTCGTTGGCTTAGTTTAGATAAGGAAAGAGGGTGAATGAGTTATTACTCAGAAGGTATTCCTTCTGCTTATAAAACAAATGATTGATGTACATGTATTATGTACCCACTTATTGGCAGAGGTGTCGTACGCATGAGTTCCAATGTCTCATATAGAAACATTTATTTATAACAACTTGAATAAACGTGATTGCCAACAATAAATGTCTCGTGAGAGAAGTATAAATAATAATGTTTTTAAGATGACGGTGGCAATGAACCTTTTGGCTTCTGAAGTACCTATTTTCTCAACTAGAGATCTATAGCAAAACTATTTTTATTTTATAAGAAGCAGAAATTGCATTTATGCTATGTTATAGGAAGAGTGTCTTGCCACAATAATGGGCACATTTTCACGCCTAGTGCCTGTGATGAGCATTTTGAAAAATTTAATAATATATTTTGTTATACGATTATTTCTAGTCTACTCAAGTATATTACTACCCAGTAGCAGCGACAGTCGCCGCGTCGTTGGTCGCGGAATGCTGCTCAAGAATATGAGCCTCTAGCACGGCTTGAAACTAGTCGAGTTCCTCGTCAAATAGTTACGTTAGTAAGTCAGAAAAATAATAATTTTGTTTATAAATCTTTTTGGTACCTAATATTGAGCAATTAATAAACCAGTCTCAATAGTATCAATACTTTAATATAGTCGACCGCACAATAGTGCTTATACCTACTTAGATAATATTTTATGTATAATTATATTATTCGTACCTTTCCGACAACAGCGGTAACATTGCCAAGCTTGGCCTCCTCCGTAAGCGCCTCGAGTTTTGATTTGCCACTCCTGGAACCCTCCTCTGAGCCTCCATCATCACCGCCCCTGTAATTAGAAAAAAAGTTATAACACGATTGGAAATGGGACGAAAAATATGAATAGATAAATGAATATGCATTGCAATCTCTGTAAATATATTTGTTTGTGTTAATCAATACTTAATTTCGTCTTATTACCATTAACATTTAAATACTTACTCGTAGACTTTTGACCTTATTTTATGACTTGAGTACCTACAGTTGCAAGATAAACGTGGCATTTGATGATTGCTTTGTAAGTAATAAATTTTGTTCTATTTGCAAAACAACTTTCAGAACTACTGCCAAAATATTAAATCATCTCATACGTTTAAGAGTATTCTAAGATTTACAACTTTGGTATTCTAGGTTTATGGTGTGGTAAAGATAAGGAGACGCATAGTCCAAATATTGTGTGTATAAATATAAGGCTAACTGCTGCTGATGTTGGGGCATAGAATTAAAACGAAATAATAAAAAAAAACAAACTATCGTGAGACATACTAAATTAACTAAAAACCGCGGGTTACTCATGAGAATATATTAAGAAAAGCTCTACTGGTTTCGAACCACAGAGGGGTTCTTCCTCACGAGCAGCGTGCGCGGAATAGGCTGCGCGACATCACCGCGATCGCCCACGCTGCTCATGAGGAAGAACCCCTCAGTATAATTTCTCAGTATATTCACATGAGTAAACCGCGATTTTTTAATTAATTTAAATTATAATAATATGCAACTTTCTTATCTAACGTTTATTAATGTTTTCCGAACTTACCCAGCATCTTGTTGAGTGAGTAGCAAGCTGCAGGTCGCCTCTTCAGTGTGCATCCTCGCTGCTACATTCTGATATATCTTCGAGTTCAACTTGTCATCGATCACGCCTTGCAGCTCAAAATCGCTGTACATTTTCTAGAATTTAAAATGAAATTATTATTTACTGTCATAAAAACTTCATAGGTAGGCTTCATAATAAAAAGAATAATAAAACTAAATTAAAATTTTATCTATAATAAAACTAAATTAAATAAGATCGTACAAATTAATGTTTTCCCCGATTGTGGGTAATTTTTTTATACATGGTAACATTCACAAAATAGGCAAATTACATTAGTGTTGCATTAGGTTTTTCCCCGAAAAATAAAACAATATTATTATTTAACAAAAACTTTGTACGTATTTTTAGGTACCTATTTTATTTTCGGTAATGAAATGGATTACAGTTAAAATTTTTTTTATATCATGGTGGATTATAAATTACAGTTATGCTTGCTTACTTTCAAAATGATAGAAAGGCAGGCGACTTGCTGTGGATGTAGTGCTGGTCTCTCAGCCAGCCAAGTGTTGATCAGCCCCACCTGAATCCCGTACCATTGCTCAAACAGCTGGAGGATCCATAACTCATCTGTAACCTGGAAAAATATGCATTTGGATTAAAGCTAAGAATAATTATTGTTACTATATGACAAAGATATAATAAACTAGCTTCTGTCAGCGGTTTCGACCGCGTTCCCGTTGGTTAAAAAGTAGCCTATGTTATTGTTATTCCAGTCTTAGTCCCTGTTCCAAATTTTATCCCAATCCTTGCGCTATTTGGCGACGCCAATTGCTTACCATCAGGTGATACGTCTGCTCGTTTACCGGCTTATTCCATAAAAAAATACACACGCCTACATCGCCACAAACTTTCGCAGTTATGATATTGATATACTGACCATCTCCAATCTCTCTCTTTTTCGGAGGACATCCAATAAGAAACTCATTTAAAATATTGATACATTTACCTTCGATCTTATTTGGTCCATGGAGTTCCTCATGAAGTTGACATAACCCTGGCCGATGTCCTTGCCTGATCCTGACACGTTGGCTATCGTCAGGATTGACCCGATCAAACTAAAAGCAAAGAACATTCCTTTAGGAAAACAAACGAGCAGCTTGATCACCTGATGACAAGCAATCAAGGTACTCATGGATATTCGCAACACTAAAGTGGTGTTTTACTGACAATGATGAGCTTAGGTCTGCTTGTGGATTGGTCTTATTAGAAAGGCTTAACAAGACAGTACGAACAGTTCCAATATGTCTCTAAGCAATGTTTTCATCCATTAAATAAAACAAAATGAATGGGCCAAAGAAAACCTTAAATTTAGAATAGGGTTTGTCAATCAGCTCACCTTCCCTCATCGAACCTGGCGATCTTAGCGAGCGTTGCTTCTAGCACTGCTGACAACCTCGTGGTCATCCCGGACGCCATACCCTGGAGACAGGCTTCAATCTGCGCGTCCATCTTGGTGTGGTACTGGTACTAAAGGGTAGAGAAAGGAATATAATGAATTCTTGTACGACCAGGTCTGTCCGTCCATAATTGGACTTGATGCCTCCATGGCTTCTCTAGATGTAGGTAGGAAACTGTTTTCTTCTCCGGAACTTCTTCCAAGATAACATTAATAGCATTGCTGTTAGAATCCGCTAGCAAGTTCAAATAAGTTGCTTAAATAAAGAAGATTTAGTTCTTTTCTGGACACAAAGAAGGACTTGCTAGTGAATTCAGAATATTTCCAGTTCTCGAAAAGAGACAAAGCTGTAGTTCTGGACGTGTACCAAGTTCTTTTTGTTTTTGATAAAATTTCAGCCAATCAGCACGTTGCTCCAGTCAATCCAGTGACCACAATAAGCTCATGTCTCGAAACGAGCACTGAATGACAACCAGTCTCTCTGCACATGCAGTAGAAGATCACATTTAAAGAAGTCTGTAAACTTCATTTTAACATTCATTCCATAACATTTAAATAAGCTGGGAGACGTACAAAAGCGTGGAATCTAATCCGCACAGCCATTTTTGTAAGACATCTTAAAACATGTCAGGTATTCGCTCCGTAAAGATTGCTTTTCGCAGAAATTTTAGTGCTATCGTATCGCCAATCACGGGGTCATCTTTAAAGATCATACTTAAATCACATCATTGCTCCTTGGTAAACGAACAATGATGATTTTTATCTTGTACAATTCCATCTCTTTCTCTTTTAGAAGCTATATCAATGTTGTTTTAGAGATGATAGTAGACCCCTAAATGCCAAAATTTTGAATTTTGAAAACAATTGCAATGCATTCCCTTACGCGCTTATCATCTACTAATTCGAGACCATTTATGTTACAATTGCAACGTCAAACATACTGAAACATCTAATTTGCCTCGTGCTTGCAATTTTCAGCCATGACAGTGGAGGGGGAGATGCAGCGAATTTTAACGGATTGGGGATATGAAACTGGGATGAATAGTTACATATCTCCAACTCGTGATATACATTTAAGATGCGTGCACATGCATTCATATCAGTCCCTAAAGAGACAATGTTTTGGCGTGGATCCAATACGTTCAAAGTTTTGATAGCATATCTGTAATTGCTTTTAATTTATTTCGATCTTCACAAATGCTTGAACGTAGTGGAGGCATCTTCAACAGCCATGCCAGATTTGGGGCTGGCTCAAAGGTAAGGAAAATAGGGGAAAATATATTTTTGAGTAGGTAAATTAGACCCTATGTGAAAAGATTTGGAATAAATACTTCTAGGTCCAGAAGATTTTGATTTGATTGTAGCAATTTATTAATAAACGACTTTCCAGGTCGCGGATACGATTTCTCTTTTCAAGACACTTATTTGTAAGGGATAACTTAAAAACATCATCGATGAAAGAGCCAGACTAGCGAAGGTGAATTTTGATTGTACATGCAATCCAATTGTTTTAAGCTGGTTTGGGAACAGCATGCAAGAAGTTGTTAGTTTACATACATCAGCTGCTTCATAATTCGGGTGGGTCCGTGGTATGGGATGTTGTTCTAGAGTGGCGATGGTTGTGGTTTCGTGGTGCGGCTGATTGTCGAAGTCTGATGTTTCGTTAAAATTTTTCGCCCTGTCAGAAAAGCGTAGCTATTTCTTTCCTATTTTTTAAAGCATTGCCAAGCTCTTTCCTGGATTATCTGTCCATTCTTCTGCTCATGTTTAACTCACCAGAACAGTCGCGTTTAAATCAGGAATCTCGATCTTTCAAGGTTTTAAATGCTCCTTCGTCTAAAAATTTCTGTAGACTAGAATATGATGAAGCATTTATTTTATGTTCTGCATGATACAAAAGCCGATGTTTGATGGCTGCATTTATTGCTGTAAGCGCACTTTTGTTGGCACCCTCAAGAGCTTCCCATTCAAATAAATAAAGGTTTGAAAGTATTGTACCCTTATCTAGTTACATTTGAAAAGGAGTCTTGTAGGAGGCAGTTCGATGAACTGAATACTTTATAAAAGCTGAAGGCCCGCTCTGACCGTTATGTTGAATCTTTCATGGTTTATGATCTAGCATATGTTTGGCATTGGCATTCATGATTTGTGATCTTTTATGATTCTTGATTCTCATTTATTGGCTGGCTTTATTCCGAACTCCACCATGACTTATGCTATTGTATGCTCTATATTGTTTGCTGTGATCATATCTTAAGTACATCGCTTAGCTCTCAACCTAGTTATTTCTGTTTTTCTATACAGTTCTAAATCTTCTTTCTAATTGGCTGAAATGTTTAGATTCTATTTCTTTAGCATTGCCATAATCCATATAATTTTGTTCGCTATTCCCATCACCAGTACCTGTGTAAAGAGAGATGTAAGTACTCACAATATCTACCCCTTCAACTGCGCATAACTTCAGTGCCTGGTTCTTAGCGTCGAGGGCCACGTTGACCATGGCGCAGGTCTCCGCCGGCAGGATGTAGTCCGTTGACATGAAGGTGACGCTCTTCTTCAGCCAGGACTAGAAATAAAACGATCTTGTAAATGGACAAAGAGGCTCTAAAGAGGGTGCTTATTTTGAATAGGTTAGCTCATAAAATTCTTGCTCCTAAACTGGATTGTTTTTAATTCTCTCACCTGGAACGACGCCTCGGTCCTTTGTATACATGTTTCCATCATGTCACACGCCATCAGCTTCAACCTCTGCTCAAGGTGCGACCGGAACTCCGGCTCCGGCCAATGAAGGTCCCTAATGAAGCACTGCAGCGCATCCAGCTTCCAGAACAACTCCTCACTCGTGGAACAACCATTACTATGGGAAATTGTAAAAGGATTATAATCTTTTAAAGATATGTTTGTTTGTATATTCGTCTGTCGGTTTGTGTCAGATTTGTCATTCACATGAATATGCATTTATGCAACAAAGCTGTGATTTGTGATGCCATGCTATGACAGTGATTTCATTCATGAGACATTTCAAGTTACAATTTGATTTCGAAACAGATAAAATGAAGTGTTAAAATTTATTATTTTTATGAATTGCATAGGCATTGACTTGTTGAATGGTGTATTGAAATAGGTAAAAACTTACGGTACAGGTTAGAGTAATAAAAAAGGATTAATCCTTACCCTTTGATCTCCCACCTTTCCTTCTCGAAACCTTTGTGAAGGGACTGGGCTATAGAGGACTCCATCAAGTCCACATATCTCACAACAAGAGGAGCAAATGTATCCCGTAGATGCTCATGAAACCTGCCACCTTTTAGATTTTCTGGCGATGAGACAAAAGGAGCTTTACGGAAAATAGAAAGGAAGAGTTTGAAGATAAATAGATTAAAAACTCCAAATTCAATATTTGAAAAAGTATCAAAAAATATTCCTCTACGTTAATTTTAGAATTGACACAACATTTAAAAGAATTAGAAGAAGAAAAGTCTAGTCAGCAAGTGCTCTTTAGTCTAACTATATTTTTAACAGTGTCGATATTGTGAGTGCGGTGTCATTTCATTTAGAATTCAATATTTTTAGAAATAAAAATTATTCAGAAGCAGAGAATATTATTCTCTAATGTAATTTAATAATTTAAATAACTCTGTAATTTTAATGAATACACCCGAAATTGACTTCAGCTACAGACGCTTGAGACAAATTCATCAAAAACTTTAAAGTTTTTTTTTCTGAAATAGTAACAATGTCATTGTCATTCAAACTATATTTTTATTTGTTACTATTTTAAGAAGACATTCTTTTAGGGGACTTTCTCTTCCTTTTAAATCTTTTTAGATAACAGAAATCTCAATTTATTTAGCAAAAATAGATAAACACTGTTTTTTAGGCTTTATTCTTTTTTGCTTAGTTTACCGTCTTTTTAAATTTTTTTGCAAGCGGTGTTATATTTCAATTCATTTATTATAATTCGATTCTAAATCGAAAGCCACTTCACCTTACTAGACGCTGCTAAAAAAGTTGGACAAAAGAGCAATTGTTGATTAGATAAGAAAGTGAAAAAGACAAAAAGACGTCGTTAGACGAATCAAAAATTCCAAAGATTGGATTTGGACATTGATTCTTTTGAGACTTACCATCACTTCTTAAATAATCATTAAGGATTTGGAATAAAGGAAAGGAATCCCAGGTGTCTGGGGGTTGTTCAGCTAATACTCTATCCATGTCCACTCCGAATAACGCCCAGAAGATCTCAGCATGCTCGACCAACAGCTCGGAAAACCACGCGAAGGCCTGTACACAGATGTAGACGATACTATTAATAATAACCTTACATTATCATTTAAAGAAGATTCTAAAAGTATTTAATCAAAAAACAATAACATTCATTTATCAATTAGAATTAAATATTTACATCGTTTAATTTTAATCACGTTAATTTTACCAATTACTAATGAATCGGTTTTCAATCAATCAATTATTTTTTATTATTAGTAAACTTTAAGAAATACTTTACTGAAAAAAAAAAGATTAGTGACATTTGCCGTTTTAAAATCAGAAACCCAAAATGCACATTAATTGCATGAGAAGGCAAAGGCCCTTCAAATAAAAATTATCATGAAGATATGTTTCTTCAAATTGAAATAAAACCTAGCCGTGCACGACTAGTAGGACTTAGGATTAATTTGACTACAAAACATACCCTAGGGGTGGTTTCAGAGGCGGATTACACCTGGCCAGCACCATAGGCAAGCATGTCACAGGCGCCAAATAAAATAAAAACTAGCATCTCGCGGCGTCTCTCTTTAACCTGGTGACCTAGCTACTTGCCTAGTTTGCATTAAGGATAATACGGCTCTGGGCTGATTCAAAACATTTGTTAAACGTAATTGACAAATATTTTGATCTTAATTTCACACTACAAGACAAGGACGACATGCAAGATACGACACAAGATAGGACAAGTCTAGTTCACACACTAGAAGCTGGACAGAATAGAGTATAGAAACTAGTAGAGTATAATATGGTATGTGCAATGCCTAAGGTACTGAAAATATCTAAATGTGTAGGTACTGTAGTGGACACAGGAGAAAGTGTTTAATCGAAAATAGCCTTAACGGTAAGGTAGTTAGAATTTAGATTTAAAATGTTGAATCTTGTCCTTCAAACTATTTTCGATTTAAACACTAATAACAAGCAGAATGTAAGCATAGAAATTGTATAAATAATAATAAAATATAGCGCACTACGGAAAAGAAAATTTGTTGTATTGTGCTCAATGTGTCGTATGTCCTAGTTTGTTATGTAGAAGCATTTGTTCCTGTAACTAATGTATGTATCGTGAGTCGAAGTTCGGAGTAGACTGTAGAAAGAAATATACAAAATTCACTTTTCATTGCAGACATACACGACTAAAAACCCTGCCAATTGGTTTTGGTAAAGAATTCTAAAGAAAATACTTTTTTGGTTTGAGCCCATAATGAAAAGTCCGATCTTAGTCAATCAAAATCTCTATAAATCATTCGTAATTCATGCAATGCTTTCGACTATCGAAGTAATATTAAAGCATTTGCCCAAGCGAGTTAAACTATCGTTTATCAAGTCTACTCCTTTTATATTGTGATCAAACCAATTAATGTGAAGTATGACCAAGATCAAGTGAACAAACAATTGACAAGTGATTCGTTCAGCCGAGCAAATCAAATTCATGAGTAGTTACATTTTGTTGACCGCTAGAGTCCGGTTTTGTGTTATAAACCTGCGGAGAAATAAAATATAAGATAGAAGTGGATAATAAAAGACATAGTTTCATACTTAGCGAACATCAAATGTCGGGAAGTGAACCATTATATCATTCACTCGACGACTAAGCGACATAAAATATATAATTTAGGAAAACAAAAATACGTTTCAATACTAATAGAGTACACGATGATGATTTGTTAAATAATGTAAATAATAACTTTGATTTAGATGCAAAAACATCGTGTACCGTTGATTGAAATGAAAATACAGAATTTTCTTTCCAACCTTTTGATATAAATAATAATATACTGCCTGACATTCCCCACACTAATAGCGACAGGAGAATAGGATGCTATCCAGTCAACATTGATATTTTGCCAAAACATTTTAGTACATTCGACAATGTTTTTGATACTTAAATTGCAAACTATGACAAAAAGCCATTGGTTTTTAACGAATAAAGTTGTAAGTACTAAAAAGCTTTGTCAAAACAGAAACCACGACATTCAGGATAGACATAAACATATTAGGCAAACATTAAGGAGCATAACTTTGACATATTTTTGCTGTTTTTCCAAAAAAACTCCACCGACATCAATGTTAAGCTCAAACCTGTACTTTTGGAGTCGTTGAAATAATCCGTGCATTTACATTACCTCTGCATAATGCTCTTCATTCTGTTGAAGCAGATCTACGCACAGTTCTGCTAAATGTATGAGATCTTCCAGTTTTTTCGCTGGTGTAACCATTGTTTCTCCTCTTAAGTCCTCTGTAAGGGAAATGTTATATCTTGACCTAAAGGACACAAATGTATCAAAGGCTTTTTCTTTGTTTCTATCTTCTATGTATTCTAAAGCATTACCATGTTCAACACTAAATATACATTCTCTACGATCTTTTTATGTCTTTTGTAAATTAGGTTTTATTCATACAAACACAGTTGCTATCAATAGAGTAATTAGATTCTTATATTCATCTAGAAACTATTCTACCTTTGTATTCTTAATACAAAATTTTACATCAACAATTTCAATATCACTGTTCAAATAGAAATCATGTCTACCTTCGATGTTCGCTTTTTGGCTAAGCTGTGTGTAGTTCAATAAGGCTGCGTTCTCCAAGCTGGTCTGTATCATCGCTCTCACCTCCTCTGGCGCTACTGGTGTTACCACGTCCTTCATCAGTACTCTTTCCAAGAGAGATAACGTGGCCTGGAAAATGTTTTATTTGTTACATTTCCTTGACTTCTGTATCTTCAACCAACTTGTAGATTGTTGTAGTTTTCGAAACTTGACTTATTTAAACATATGTGCTGATATTTCGTTTTTATATAGTAAATTCGCTGTGTTTTCTCTACAGAACCGTGATAAAAATCTTGTTTAATACCTACTCTGAATTTCTTAATTTTAAATGAGGTAATAACATTGTGACTTTCAACATTTTTAATACTTAAATAAAGTATATATTTCTGTTCAACTCACCTTAAGCGCTCCCTCAGGCCGTCCAAATGGGAACGCATATCTAAAGTTAGTGATCTGATGCTGCAGTAACGCCTTCAATCTTTCCTTTATCTCCGCAAACTTTTCCTTCTCTTGCACAGTGATGCTGCCTACCCCGTCCGGCCTGCCAGTCAACGTCGCTGTACTGTGAACCACTTCCGGCGTAGGGCTTACTCTAGTTGGGCACAAGCGGGATATAGGGTAGGCTGTGAAATCAGCAGCTTAACTACGAACTAAATAAATCTATTTACATTAAATAATTCTAATTTATCTTAAGGGAGAGTGTGGGTTTCATTTTATTGGTCCTCTGCCTTATTTGATGGGTTTGTTTTATTGTTTTTCGTTAAGTTGTTTAATTTTTATTTGTTTGTGTTTTTACAGGGAGAGTGTGCTTTCATTTGTTTCTTTCTCTGCCTTTTGTTATGAATTCAATATTTTTTCTTCACTTTGTATTAATTCGATTTTTACCTCCAATTCTTTGTATATTTTTACTTCAAATAATCAACGGGCTGCAATTTGAGTTTTCCTTTTAATATGTATAAAGGAATCTGTTCATCATCGATTCTTTTGTTTTATCTTAATTCAATATTTTCAAACCATGCATTTCAAAAATATTTCATACAACTTGCTTACATAATTTTTCTGTATTTATCTGAACTGCTGACTCCAAAAGCCCGAAAATACATTAGTAAGGTGAAGCAGGCATAGTTAGTAAGCACATTTAGTACGGTTGCATAGTCAGTTAGTAAAGGTAAGTACTAATAGAAGCAACATCACACTTAGGTGAGGCATAGGTCAGATAGGTCGTGGTTTAATACTAATTCTGGTACACGAAGCTGTTTTTGACATATCTAATCCTATTTTGTGTCAAAATGTTAAGGTTGAGGGAATCAGATGCTTTAGTAAAAACCAAAATGCATTGTATGTTGAATGATTGGAAATTTTGATTATGTTTAATTTGGTTTTTGATTTATGTTAGAGATAATGTTTGTGTGGTTAATTGTCTAAATAATTAGTCAAATACAGCTTCTTTTTCTATCCATAGATCACTGCTAAATCACATTCACATTCAGTGGCGGACCTAGTACATCGCCTTGTGGGACACCAAATCTAACACAATTACCATTCCATACCAACCTGTTATATTTACAAATATTAACTACGAATGCATTTTTACATTAAATATAATAAGATACTGGCTACATCTTTGTGTTTTTATACTTTAATTATATTCTGATCAACACATCACACAAAGTGTTTAAATAAGAAGACCAATTTTGTTAAAATTATTCTTAGCAATGTTATTTACAGCTAAATTTTGATTACTATACAATTCTGTTTTAAGTATGCCAATTGTTTCGATTTTTGGAAATTCGAATTTCATCATTGTAATCGATAGTGCTATTTACATGACAATTTTGATGATTATTATTTACATTAAGATTTGATTTCGTATTATATATATAATTTTGAATTCCAGTATTGTCAACTTTATCATCTACTACTTATTACTTTTACAGAAGTCTAGCTATCTACCTACCTGTTACCATGGACGTGGCTGGCGCAGAACGCGAAGGAGTAATGCATTAGAGTGGGGTCCACGGTCTGAGACCCACTCTCTGCCACATCGAGTAGATCTGATAGGTAACAAAGATGTCTGAAACAGCCTCTCACGCCGTATCTTGCACAGTACTCGTCAAGGACAAATACTTGGCCTGGAGAAAACCAGCCCTGGAAATATAAAAAATTGTGTGAAATAACATTATTTTCATAAAATAAATGTTAATTCCAATCATTGTAATGTGCATGTCAAATTATGCATTCTTCATCCACGTCACAGGAGAAAATTTAAAAGTGGATTGACATGTTTAAATTGGAATGAGACGAATTCTTCGTCTACAAATTATTTTCTAAGTTTTCAACCGAGGTTACTGTTAGTGTCTTACCAGAGAACAGTATGGATCTTGTAAACGATACTTCAGCGTCAAAGACTGCAGCACACAGAACAACTGGTGATGATCGTACTGACACGGATCAGCTTGAATATAGTCCTCCATGCCATGTTTGCGTGCTTTGTCAGCATCTGGAAGTAAAGATTCATTGTTATGATCTTTAAATAATATTTTTACGACAAATTCTTGATCAGCACTTGGAATTTAATTAAAGCAGTCAGTGGTAGCCACAGCAGGTTTAAATTGTTTTGAATTATTACTCCTACTATAGTTATTCGCAAATAAACTGTTGTAAAATCAAGACGCAGTATTCAGTTCCATAACAGTGATTACAAATAGCAATAAACTAGTATTAGTTGTACTATCAGAAACTTTCCATAGATTAAAGAAGATAGTAAACCTAAAATTAATTAATAACGTTAACCGTAACGATGACGTCAGACACGGCAGTTATAGAGATAAATTCTGATAAGATATTAGATCAATTTATTAATTCAATAGATACTACCGCTGATGATAAAAGTGATAATGACATGAAAGCTCAAGTAAGGTTAACAATCAGAAATGATAATTTCAGAATTAACGTTGGTCTAACGGCCATCCTTTTGCTGAAATACTGAAGAGAGTCGTAACCATGTTAGGCAATTGAAAATACATAGCTATTATTTCACTGTATAACATAAGTCATGATCAATATTGTTATGATTATCAGTTATGTAAATAAAAAGAGATAATCTTCCGATAGACATCGCAATATTGTCTGTTTATAAAAATCAATCTCTAAAAACATTTACATAGACCTTCACCAAAGCGTTTTTAAATAATATTTGATTCAATCAACCCACCTCCCATAATTTTATGGTGCGTATCTGAAGTAGTAGGCGGCGTCGGTTTATGACTCTGTCCTGTAGCTCTATACAACGCCATAACCCATAGATGGCACTCATTCTCATCAGTAACTCCCATGAGAACTGATTCTCCATCTCTGACAGCATTCATGAAGTATTTAGCACCTTCCAATTCTGAAATACAATTTATAATAGTGGTTCCATCATGTTTTCAACTAATAGTGACACTGTATAGGTATAGATGGAAAGAAAGTTGACTGAAATTGGAAATAAGGCCTTTTTCAAAGATAATTTTAATTGGTGAAAGCCTGGGAATTTCATTGTTGTTCTATTAATAGTATGAGTATTCAAAACTAAATTGGGCTTCGAACCCAAAACTTTTGACCATTGTCTATAAATACATTTGAATTGTTAATCAATTTCTATTTTGGGATTGGTTCATTAAGTTGTCTTTCCATTAACTGATAATAAAATTGAATCTTGTTTATTTTAAAGTTAGCATCAATTTAGCTAGACTGTTGTAGATGACAGTCTATATCCTAATAGGAGCCAAATGCCGACCTAATCAAAATTTAATAGAAAACTTCCCAATAATTGTCATCTGATCCGACCCAGACCTAGGAATCGAACCCAGATTCTCAAATCCAAGAGTCACGGTTGCGGCTACTAACCCAAATGAACACTCCTGATGAAAAGACAACTTCAGCATATAAGAAAAAGATAGAGAAAGGAGATGGTAAATGTAAAGAATAATAATCACAAAAATGTTCATTACCTATTGTTTTCTTGTTTGCCTTACCTTGTCCGACGATCAGCTGAGCTGTAAAACAAAGATAAACATTTTAGTACACAAACAATAATATGAACAAAACAAATAAAATACCAAAAGGGGTTAATTTCAAATTTAAACTTGCCATAGAAAAGAAATTAAATGCAAATGGAATATATTAAAACTGATAAAGTAATTAATGATAGAAATGAGTACTGTACCGCTTGCGAGCTCAATGTAGTCCACAGTAAAGCCATCTAACTGCATCATTTCTGCCGGCTCTGACTTCTTATCTTTGTATGAACATAAGGCAAACGTGTACTGGCTGACTTGTACGAGCACCATGTATCTTCGCTTCCATTTACGCCAAACATTTTTGCCGATAACGTGGAGGTAGCTAGAAAGGAGAAAATTATTTATTGATCATATCTTTTTAGACTTTGCTAAGGCCTTCGACCCAACAGATATCTGTACACTCTAGTTTTAAATATTAACTTAAAGTGTTATAGTACCAACAATTGGACCGAAATAGGATATTACAATACATGCATTTAAATACTTTGTAGGTGTTCCACAAGGTAACAACCTTGGTCCTCTGTAGTTTTTTGTTATATGTATTCAAAATGTTCGTTCATTTGTTTTTCTATAAGTTTTAACTTACCCACAATGCTTCATATTAAGAGGTTTGTCCATTCTGCAAGCGATTTTGATTCTTAAGTCTTGGTCAGGTAGATTCTTTGGTACTGTCATACGATGCCATTCGGGCACCTAAAAAGCACAAAGAAATATAAGAATATTATTATATTATAAGGTTTATTTAAAGGTATATAAAGGTGGTGGATAATATTGAAAATAGAGGCTTCAATAGGTACTATAATGCTTAACGCATTTTTGTTTTAGTTTACTTTTCAAAATTACTTTAGATTTTCCATCAACATCGTTTCTTTGTTTGTATTTCTCAATAAATTACTTACTTTACTAGATAAGGGTGTCGGCCTCAGCACAACTTTGCCGAGCTCCTTATCTTCCAGTGCCAGAACTCCGGGGTTTTCAGTATAAAGCTTCACTTTGACTGCAGGCAACGGCTGTGTTGTACTGAAGTCACCTTGTGTATCCCACCTGGTTCAGATAGAAATATGTTTGAAAAGAATCTTTGTGGAAATGTCGCCATTACATATCTTCGTTTTTAACAGCACAAAATGTCTTTTGAACACGTATCCCCTAAGAAAAATAATATATTTCGAAAACTAAATTAGGTACGAATAGTATATATAAAGGCGACGATTATGAAATATCAGTTTAATCAAAAATATTTGGTATACGTTATTTTGAAATAACCTCATCTTCAAGAAGATAAACCATAAATCGTTAAGTTCACTCACATTGGCTTAGAGGCTTCTGCTTGATCAGTCTGAAGTTTGTCTCCGCCTTCAACCTCCATAGTGCAATAAACTATTCTATTTGGTGCTAACGACTTGAGACCCTTCACTTCCATCACAACCACCTAGAATTTGTTTTACATGATAACAATTATGAGAAAAATAAAGCCATTTATATATCCCTTGATAATAGTGATAATATAACTTATATGTGATCTAATATACATACCAAATCTACTTACATAGATACACAGGGTGCTATAAGGACTTATTTCAATAAAGCAAATCATAAAGATGCAGTACAATAGGCCGTTGTTAATAAGACAGTCGAAGAATTACTTTGAATGATACCTACTGCATTGTGCATAAATAATATTTTTATAGGTTAAGAGTATAAACACACATAAATACAAATACTAACTGTAATATTTATAAATAGTTTTAACTAAAATCATCAATTTCTTTCCGATCACGTTTCAATAAGGAAGACGATACATGCTTTAACTACAATAGAGTTCTTTTTTAAAATCATAAGAATTGATATACTAAAGTATACATATTTGACTATTCGATAGATAAAATACGATACTAGTTGTATAATTATGTTACATCAAATACAATTTTGTACTAATTTTCCATTGAGATACGAATATGATTGTAAGTGTAAAATATTGTTTACATTTATATCAATAGTTTACTAAATACATTTCACTTTTCGTCATCCTTAAACGTTACCTCTATTTGAAACGTTAGGACAACATCCATTTTCGTGAGTTGAGTGTCGACATCACCGCCATCTGCCTCACCCGTCAACTTGTTGGCAAGCGAGCCTTGTGATCTGAAACACAGCTGCTTACTCAACCTTGGACTCGGATCTGGTCCGGCATTTGACCTAATCACCATCAACAGTACATTTCAAAATACCACCACCAAAAAATTCCACCAAGAATTTAATCATCCAAAGTATTTACATATCATTAATCCAGTGAATGACAAACATTTAGAAGTTAGTAGTATTGTTAATAAGTTACATGAATTACAAGTTAATAATGATATATTCACAGTTATTAGGATAAGGGAAGCGACATTTCATTCACAAGCCCGTGGGAATGATTGGTGGCATACATTATGAGAACCCGTCACCGATACCAAGAATGATTAAGCATACAAAAGGGTAACATTACAAATACGTCGGAACACATATAATCTATATCTAAAGTACTGATAAAATGGCGTAAGTTAATGTGAAAGCGATATATGAATTAGAGAGTTCAGTGGTAGAAACGAAAGAAGTCAGACAAATAAAGCTAGAGGCGAAGAAATAAATCCGATAGTGCACTTTCATGTTGACTGAATTCCACTCGATTTAACTTTGACGGTTAAAGTTTCTCTTACACGAATAATATTGAACAAAGTGCCGCTTGGAACGATATTATTGGTACAAAGTTTCACTGAACTCTCGTCATTGGCGTTATGAAATGGTCGGTTCAAATGTAAAGAAAGCGAAGCCCTATCGAAGCTTGAAGCATTATAGTTCGAGTATAGTTTTAGACGAAAATATATAAGTAAATAAGATTAAATAATAATAAAAGGATAATCAAATCATGGTGTAACAAAAATTTGAAGCAGTGGGATTAGTCAAAAGCCTACGAGTCTATTTCAATTTACATTTGGGTATTGTATCTACGTTTTAAGTATTAAGCTGACGCTTAGGTGTTACTGTAGCTATTAAGACTATGATTATAAAATCTTTATCTACTTTTTTAGTTACTATAAGCATATTAAAGACTTCTGGCGGTGTTGTGGAAGCTTTAATTCCATTGTTGTCATTTTAGATAAGTTTTGTAACTTTTTGATTTGGACCACGGGTTTTGTCGTCTAATTTGTCAGTATTAGCAGTAAGCTCTACTCTAGTATACTTTTACTTAGCTACAGTGGTCCCTTTGACAACATTAGGATTGCAAACTTTATCATTCATGTAGGGAATGTGTTGGGGTCCTGCTACACAAGACACGTGCTTATAATTATCAATTCTGTACTCATTACTTGTACTTCCTTTAATATTACCGTCCAGTTATGTGCCAGGGACAGAAAAACCAAATAGAAATCAACAAGTAGAAACAATGAATCTGGATGGACGTCTAAAGTATTTGAAAAGAGATAGAATAGAAGATAGTTTATGTGTTTAAAATCACAAAATATAGCTTGTTCGTATAAAAATATTTTAGCTGTCCAATTTGTGAGTTTAAACACCAAAACTAAGGGTGGAAATAAATGATGTTTATCGTATTATTAACGTGGCATCCAGATGATATAGTCAGTTAGAACCAAATATTACAAACAGTGAAGGAGATGAAGTATACATAACTTAGTATTGGAACAAACATTCGATTAGTATTGATAATGTTAGTCCACGAATGAATTTTAAATCTGCCATACGTTTAGAAAAAATACATTCAAAATAAAATTTAAGGATACTTATGTTCATTTCGTAAAGACAATGAATTAGATATGGATGACAGTTACAAAATGTATGACAGACAATGTTTTGATATTTTAGACAATTATTTTATAAGTAAACCTTCCAATTCAGGATGATATAAAGGGAAGTAATTAAATCTTCAAATCTTCAAAAATATCATTAAATTGGAAAGTGAACTTTAGAATTTAGGTTAACAGACACAGAAACTAAATACACACATATAATATGCAAAGAAAATACCTTTTACCTTTATAAAACAGGAAAAAATATTGAAAAGGTATATAGGTAACTATATTTTCTTTGCATCTTTTCTTTCAATCCCATACATCATAATGGATTTTGTGAAAAGTGTCAAATTGTATATTGAATTTTTGAACAACGATTCAAGATCAAATCAACCAAATGACTTTGCTCAGTATATTGAAAAAGAAATTCTTAAGCCTCACGAGGAAATTGGAACAGATGACAAAAGAAAATTCTGAGCATAAGTCATTGGAAATTGATAATTATGTAACAGCAAACATCGATCACATTAAATACAGCGTTAACTTTACATATAGACATCGAATAGACGCATAACACACATACTAATTTAGATGAAAATTTGTTTGGGATACAACGGATTTGCCCTGTCCATAAAGGTAACCAATTTGAAACTATAAATATTTTTGGGTAAAGGTTATGTTTATTTGTCAAAAATCTTCTAACTTCGACCGTACGGTTTCGGTTAGTGCGGTGGCTGGCCAACCGACTGAGGCGCAATGTATCGCGGGTTCGATTCGCTCAGGGAACGACTTATTGTCAGACCCACAAATTGTTGTTTCGGGTCTGGGTGTCATGTGCTGGTATGTTTGTAAACGCACCCACGATACAGGAAAAAATTAATAGTGTGAGCAAGGTCATTAAAAAAAAATCTTTTTCCAATATTAAACACCCTATAAATAAGACCGTATCAACAAATAAACACAATCTTTTGTCCTTTAGCCTCAAAAGGTTGTCTTAAAATATTTCGTACTATTATGTATTGTTCATTATTCGTACTCGTTCTAAAACACTGACCTGTGATTATACCGCTTGATTTTATGGAGGCCATATTTGGAGTCTGCACCGCCTTTAGAGACAGGCAATGACTCCAAGTTAGCCATCAGTAAGTTGATTGAAGACTTCAACTCTTCGATGTACAGTGATTCCATCTCTTTTAGCACGAACTTCGGCATTAGCTTGCGATTCTACAAGATAATTTACATTAGTATCGTCTTTTATTTCTTTTATACTGAAATGTTTATGAATTTTGTCTCTTTCGTCGTCACCTTTTCCATTTCATTAACTTTCTGCATTCTTCCATCCAGTTCTCTTCTGATGGCTGCAGCTTGTTCGTCAGCTGAATCCAACTGTGAAACATTTAGCAATTTAAGATTTGCCGAAAGCCTTTCATTGAACTTCTCTTCACGTTATAATAAATTGACCTATTCATAAGCGAAAAGAAATGAAAATTATCGATAACTGGTGTTGGTACCTCCTACCTCGTATCGCATAAAAACTAACACAATGTATAAAATCATCAACATTTAAACACAGAAACCTCTCAAAGGACGAGCATGTATTAAACAAATTGTTTAAATTAAACTTACGTACATTTGCTTTTAGCCAATTTAATTAACCGGTCGAGGTAGGAGATTAATTAATCTAACTAATTGATTACAAAGGTAGGCAATACTACTTTGATGTGAATTTGTTAAAGAATAATAATTTCATAACACAATAGGGCAAGGAAGAGGAAGGCGTTGAACCTGTCCTAAATGTTGATGTAGGTAAAACATTAATAATTAATTTTGTTATAAAAATTGCCCCGTCTTTGTTTAGGATCTGTTCTGTTGTTGACACATCTGTTGTATCATACGGACAACAAAAACGATGACAAAGTTCGCCATACACTTTTTTATTAAAATTTGTTTTTGCCTCGTTATACTGGCTTTGATGTTAATGTTTTAATTTAGAGTTTGATAGAGAATGAAAATGTGAATTGGATTTAGGTGTATATTCTATCTAAGTGGTAATTGGTATCTTCATGTCTTTGTGTAACAATGTATTAAATGATATAATTTTAGCTTCTCAAAGACAGTCTGCTTTTGAAATTGCGAAGCCGGTTGATAAGACTTTAAGAGTCTATCTACCTCTAAATCTATAAAGGCGATTATTCTCAGAAATACCTACCTTCAATTTGGTTAAGATAACTAGTTATCTATTATTCACTACCTACGCAAAACTCCAAACTTAATACACCTACATTATTTGGCCTTGTGCGAATGTGGTAGATCCATAAATCCATAACTAATGCATACAAATTTCACCTTCTTGAAACTTCTTTAGTTAACACAGAAGATACTCACAAGAAGAGCGTTGAAAAGGAGTTGATGTTCAAACTTCTTGACTCCAAGGATTTGCTGGAACATGTCATAGAGCTGTTCTTTGCTGAGGATGCATTCAGCATTGAGGCTTTGTTGCTGAGCTCGAGACGGTCTTTTGGACTCATCATCTCCCGGTATGCCTGAAGGTAAATACATCTTATGATACTGACACAAACATGATAGAAATAAGAATTTCTTTTACACTGTAACACGGCGAATGATCGAAAACGAGGCTTTTTAAAATTGAGAGAGAAATACACCCATTTAATTACTATGACGAGTATTAAAATTCTTATTCTAGTTTACAAACGCTGCTTCCAACAAATAGTTATTAGTGTGAATAGTGTAAGTAACACGGAAAGCCAAAATTGTGATTTTGAACACAGAAACATGCAGTGCACTTAGTGTTAAACTTACCTCTACAATCCGTAAACCTTTATGTAATAAAATTCAAATTAAACCTACTCATTTGTGTAGGTATAATCAAAGTGTGTATTTCCGTATAATCAAAGTGTTGCTGTAAAGTTTATATATGTTATAACTGCAGATGGTAGAAATGATATAAATGACCCTGATTATATTTAAACCGATCGTGTAAGTAATAATAACAGCTTTGAAATTAATATTATCGAATTCATAGTAGACGACAATGAAGAAATACGAAATATTAATGTTACCGTAAAAACGTTAAAAAATATAGAATGTGGAAAACTATCCAATGATAATAATAAAGAGGTAAATTTTGAAAAAGAATTTGTAAACTTTATAACCATAAAATGCCTCGGTGTACACTAAGATCAAGCAACGACACAAGACGTAAGCAAAAATATGGATAAAAAGGAAGGAAATAGAAATAAAAATATAATGAAAATCTTGTCGAGTGATACCTGTTATTCCTGTTCAGGATGTGTGAGAGAGACATGTTGTGAGAGAAAGGGAAAGAAACACAGACAGTGAGACAGACACAGGCACACACATTATCAGGTACATACATATATCCTTAGTAACGGTGTAGCAAATTCGTAATTTTTTATTCAGTTTACGAATTTGGTAAGTGAACCTCTGTTGTTGAGTATTTGTAAAATTTTGATTCTAGAATTTGAAGTTTATCTTTTCGATTTTAAAACAGAGATTTGCTTACACCTATTTATAATGTCAGACATTTACATTCTACTATACGTATTCTAAGTTTTGGTTGCATTAGTTCTAGCGCAGTTTGTTTGTTGTTGATCTTGATATTTTTCATGTAGATCATCGTTAAATGTTCGATCAAAATAATGCTTTATAATTATATGTATTTATAGACAACAACGAACAAACTTTATGGAATTGTAGCATTCTGATCTAGATCTCGTTTTTACTTTCTTTACTGAACAAGGAACCATTTAAATCTGAACAACATATCACAAAAGATAGTATAAGAATGACTATAGTCAAGCATATGATTTCAATAAACAATCGTCCAGTAAAACAAAATGCTACAATTAGGTACTATTAATCTTATTTTAGGAATGGTTGATAAAATAAATACACAGGATACATGATTTATATAGAGTCTGGAAAATATGGATTTTATGGTTATCTATACAATATATTAACATTGTTTATCGAAATAAATATTCTTTTATATCCAATCATAAATAAAATAAAGAAAAATTGTCCCTAACCACGCAGATTTTTTTTAATGATAAATTAGAATACAATCATACTGATGACGATATTATTGAAACAGCTAATTGAATGTAAACACTACCGCACATAAATCATTCCTGTGCCTACAGAGCCATAGAAATAAAAACCCTTAATTTTGAAAATCTTTTTATAATCCTTTTATACATTGATGTCGAAACACTTGAACTAAATACAGCAAATTAGAACAAAATGCAAAATAGTCTAATTGTAAGAGAGCCATACTTCGGCACGAATGGGCCGACTCGACCGGAGTGATACCACAGCCTCACAGAAAAGCGACGTAAAACAACAATTGCGTTGTGTTTCGTCGTATGAGTGAGGTTGTCGGAGGCCTAATTACCCCAATTTCCTAATCCCCAACAATCCTCAAATTCCTAAACCCCAAAAGCCCGGTAACGCACTAGTAACACCTCTGGTGTTAAGGGTGTCTATGGGCACGCTGATTGCTTACAGATCAGGTGATCTGTCAGCTCGTTATTCGGCTTAAAAGAAAATCTACTTTTACACCGTGTAAGCGTATTAAAGCGAAGTACTTCAATGAAATACACTCAAAGAACGTGCCGATAACGTTTTAAATAAATACGGTAAAGCATAAAGCTCTCTTTCTCTCTCTGGGTTTTGATGAAATAAATTGGCTAAAATTTCCCCGAATTACCTCGAACACTGTAGGTTTGTTAATGTATTTATTATATTTCTGAGAATCTCTACCGTTCATTGAATACAAAATCGTTTTCACGTCTCTTTTATTTTCTATAGCGCTTTCTTTAACACAATTGTGTAGCTTATTGCTGTTAAATTGTATAGCTCGAAGGTACTCAAATGTCAACCAAAGATTATTAATGTTGTTCAAGGATCTTACATTTATATAAAGATGATGATTTAGTTAATGGAGAACCAATTGAAGATCATGTTAATGATCTTGATTGTAAGGCTCGCGTAGACACAAGCGCTACACAAACATTCAAAGGCACATTGCAAACTCAAGCACATCAATATTGATGCGTCATACACTGCACATGCTCCTCCCTCACTCCAAACTTAGCTGCCGTCAACGAGAAGAAATTTCTTCAATAAATTAATAATAATCAAAATCAAAGCATTAATTTCAAGTAATTTTTGTACATCATCCTACACAAAGTTGTCTCTTAGATAAAATAAAGGACCAAAAAAGTCCGTAGGTAGATGAACTCAGACGAAATTATAAGGCAATAATAAGACTAATACTTATTGACAAGAGTGTGGGTGATGATAAAATTGAAGTCGTAAATATTTAACTAATTGCTATAAATAGAGAATCAAAGGAAGTAATAGGAATTGGCGAAAATGCTTAGGTAAACTACTTTGAACGTTCTGAAGTAGGCGTCCTCAAAGTATCTGTTGACATTTGCATTCACGTCTTCAATAAAATATCAAATTTCTTGGCGCCTACGTGCTCCATTAGCAAATCCATTTTGTCCTTAGAACAATTTGATGTTTTTCTATTACTTTTTGGGATTTATATTTATGTTTTATGCCAATGAATATTAAGGACTGTGATAAACATTTTGACTGGAAATTGCTTTGGTTGTCTTTTAAACAAATTTTTATGTGGCAATAGAGAAGATTTTTGTAAATAAAAAGAAAATTATTTGAAGAAATTCTTTTTCGTTTTCGTCAACATTAGCTTTCTCTTTGAGAAAAGCGAACTTCCAACGTTATTAACTTTACCATTAACCTATTTTTTCTCGTATGTAGTAAGTTACAAATCAATATCTCTGAATATAGTTTATGTATTGGCTATATTTAAAGGATATAGGGTTAACAATCTCATGACTATTCATCAACAGATATTGGGTTCGCTCTTCCCAATAATTTTATTTTAAAAATCCAAAGACATAATGACACTTACCTGTGCCCTTCATGATACAATCAAACTTTGCCAACCATGATGATAAAACCGTTTCTTTACTTAATCCGTCTATTTCTGGGAGAGACCTGTAAGAAACTTACTTTAGGAAAGATTCTTAAAGATACAAAAACAAACATTGAAGTCAAAAATAATTAAAAGAATGGCAGAGGGAATTTTAAATCAATTGTGTTCCAGGCAAACTGACACGATCTAATGAATAGATCTTGCAGACTGATTATAATTAAACAACTAATAACAGACACTAAGACAAGGCCCATCTCCATTTAGAGAATAATCCTCTTGGTTTATATTAAGAATATTATTTTAATTAGAACCCTGTTAAGTAGCTGTAAATACAAGTCATTATAATAACAGCACTTGATAAAAAACTTAAAACTAATAATAAAAACATAGATGTCACCGGCATGCAATGCCAAAATGAGATCCACGCTAACATTCCAAACCTGACTCTCTTCTCGATGTTGTTTCTGAATACTTCGCGGAAATCATGATGAGAACACGCTCCTGACTTCACCATTTGTTCCACTCTTTCGGATTTTAGGAAAACGTCATGGTACGACTGGACTGCGTTCTGGAATGCCTCGTCTGCCAAGATCTGTGTCTCACCCTTGAGGAAGGCCTGAACGGATTTTGGAAATAGAAGGGTTAGTTTTATTGATTTGATGGTCAAAATTTTAATATGTTCATTTTAAAATTAATAGTGTAATGTCACAAGACCCAAACATTGCAAAAAATATCATCTACAGGTTTAGTATTGAGCCCGAATAGATTTAATAAAGCACTTAATCTTTGTAATAAAACGTTACCATAAAATATCCTGGCTATAAAGTAAAATCCAAGCATATAGATGTACGAAATCTCATATCATATAAAGGATTCATTGCAAACGATAGCATCGGAAACGTACAAACCATTTTTCTGCCGAAGTATATTACGAATAGCTATTGTCAGAATTTTCCTGGTTCTCCTATTCAAAATACATCTATTTTATATGTTCTTTGCGAAAAGATAAAGAAAAATACATTTAAGAATACAATTATAATTTGTATTTGTGCCGCTCAAAGGGAGCTTGTTTTTCTATAATGGAATACCTATCTAAAATAAATTGTATTGTATCTTCATTATTTGTTAAGATATTCTCAGAAGGTAGCACGTTCCAACAATTCTTCAATTCTTTTTTAAAATAAACTCCATTTTTGTTGTTGTACCCAATTATATAATTCCTTAGCTTAGGTACCTAGAAACTATTTAGAAAAATGAACGTTACCAAGGTAGATTTAACATTTTATAGTCAATTTTTAACAAGCTTTGCCTAAGGAATGTAGACGTAACTTAGGTACATAGATCCATAGAAATATGGAGGGCAAATGGAAATCGCTCTACATGAAATTTGGAGCTCGATCTTTCGAATTTTGGTCCACACCCAAGATGGTTGAGAAAAACGCAGAAGATAAAAGAAGTTATTATAATAACCATCGTGAGACATACTAAATTAACTGAAAATCGCGGGTTACTCACGTGAATATATACTCAGTAGGCTGCGCGACATCGCCTCGACCGCGCACGCTACTCGTGAGGAAGAACCCCTCTGTGGTTCGAAACTAGTAGAGCTTTTCTCAGTATATTCACGTGAGTATCCCGCGATTTTTAGTTGATAAAAGAAGTTGTTGAAATTCTCACCTGAAACCGAGCCTGAATGGTTTCCAGTTGATGAGGAGTGAGTTTCGTATGTCTTCTCGTCATATCAGTTGGCTGTTTCGCGTTAAACGGATGAGCAATACATCGAGATACAAAAACGTAAAGCTGGATACGTCGTTTTTTGTCTTCCTCTAGTTTTTCGATTTTCTCCTAATAAGGAAAGATTTAGAATTTTACTAAGCGTGTAGTAGCTACTAAGTTATCAATAGGCATAATTTTTATTTTAATGTCCGTCTGGTAGATTATTTTAAATCATTAGACACGTATTTTTTATTTTCTTACAGAAACGAATACTTTCGACGATATATTGATTTGAAATGTCGCGTGACATCACTCCTATGTACATTTTATACGTAGAAATGACGTTTTAGCCCCCACTCCTAAACTTTGATTTGTTTTATCTAAGTTTTGTTTTATTATACGACAAGTGTCTAATATTTTTTCATTACTTAGGTTACGGACTATTTATATTTTTAAGTATGAAAATTAGCATCATGCTACAAGAAGTTTCAGTGTAATAAAAGCCCTGATAGGTCAAGCCGTATAATGGTTGTTTCTAAAATATATTACAATAACTATAGACTGGTATGGTTGCAATAAAATTCACTTTACAACTGAGTTACATGTAAGAGGCAACTGTAAGTGTTTTGTCAACAACAAAATGTGTTTTTGTGACAAGCATTATTAGTGTTCTCATCCCCTTAAAACTAATGACTTGTTGTTATTGATGTTACCTGAGGATCCTGGTCCTTATCAGAATGGCTGGCACCAGAGGGGCTTGGTGAGGGAGCTGGTGCCTCCCCCGAGCTTGCACTCCCAGTCGACGTCCTGCGCAAGAATGATCTACTCGATCTATAGCATTAAGTCGTCAATGTAAGTGAAACTGGTCTTTACACACTGACACTTAAGGATGAGTTTCCTGCGTTTATACCTCTTGAAAAACTTTGCTATATATTGCAAAAATTTGGTTGTTTAGTGTATATAGACTTATGGTTATGCTTGACACTACTTTTATTCTAATTGTTAGCTGGTTAAAACCACAAGCAATACTTAAGAAACTAGAAATCTAATATTACTTTAATATGTATAATTTTTTATTTGATCAGAATGTTTAGGATAAACGAAGGAGGTATTGAAGTAAGATATTCAGTATTCGATTAATGTGAGAAATGTCTTTATTTTTTTTACCCCTTGTTAGAACGTGTTTGGGTCATTATTTTTCAATTCTTATCTATGTTTTTACATTTGCATCTTTTTAGACACTTGTAAAGGTAGTCACGTTAAAACTAAAACACAAATTGGATCATTAATATCAGACATTAATGTCTCTACAGTTTACACTTATACGGATCATAAGCCAGCAGCTAATGCGATACTAGTTAATTATCATGTCACAATATTTTTTTAAATTACAAACACTCTTATTCATACTGATACATTCGATTTATACTTACACTAAGTACAACATGTAACGTAATTAACGCACACCCTCAAACACCCTAATTAGAATATTATCTTATAATCATAATACATACACTAAATTTTTAATTTAACATGTATATGCATCCTTACTGGTCTTGTCATAAGGTTTATTTTTCTTTATTTTGTATTGAATGATAGAATTTGTATGAACACAAATAAAACTGCGATTTTAAAAGTCTTATTGCTTTGACTTACTGTCCATTTCGATTTGTTTTAACAATACAGGGTTAATATGACAATAATTTCCGTGGTTTTGATTATTTTTGGAATATACAATTACCTATACTAAAAATTATATAAATCGATTCAGTTAACGATTCTGAACAAACTATTTTCAGGATGTGCGTTATTTAAGTTACATATTGTATAGTGTATACCTTCTTTATATGTTCTGTGGTGTAGACTGTGGTAGTGTATTCGTACCTTAAGCCTATTTTGACATGTACTTCATTACATACTTCGTTTTACCTAACCAGCACATTGTTCATACTTCAAAAATAATCTAAAGTTAAATCTATATTCTAAGGGGTCAGGGAAAAGAATAAGGATAGACTAAAGGCTAGTTTAAAAATAGCTTCTAGATTGTTCCTAGAATGTCTCGTGAATGGAAATGGAAGTGAGTTAGAAGGTATATCGTATTCAGAGCCGTATTAGTCCTAAGGCAACCTAGGCCTAGCCTAGTGCCTAGGGCACCACGACGCCACTAGACGCGCAGGCCCATATAGTGACGGCGGCGCCAAAAAATATTTAGGGCGTCTATGAGGCGCTTGCTTAGGTTCAATTCGCCTCTGATTGTACCTTATGATAGTAAAGATACTTACGCATGAGGAGGCGGTGCCAACGCTGCAGCTTCTCTCTGTCTGGTGGCTGGGTGAAGGGGAGCTGCTAGCGGTGCTGTTGTTAATGGACTTGGACCTTTGGTAGTGGAATTTAAAGGTAACATTAGATTGCTTGATTGGATTATCGAAATTATGACGTCCAGACTTTGAAGTTGTAGAGGTTAAAAAAAATAGTAGGTGTACTACATTTGACATAATTACAATAGATTGACAGAGCCTGTTAGATTATGAATACAATAGCTATCTCCTCCATAAAACTTTACAGTATCATGTTCTAGTTAAGTAACCTATTGCATAAACGACATTTAAATAAAAATCATCATCTCTAGTAGCTTGTATGATTGCAATTTCTGCTATGAAATCTAGGTCTTCGTCTAACAATAGAATACGTCTTACAGTCAAAATGAAATGACGGAGAACTTTAATACTTGAATTATTTAATTCAGTTGAATCAGACTGTTCATAATGGATGCTATTTTCGACAATGGAATGAATGCTATTCTAGTTTTGATATTAAGACCATATTCTTTGTCTGCTGAACTCCCCAGTAACTTCCCAGGTTAGTCGGCTGGAAGCAGCCTGTATGGATGTCGTTATGTATAAATAACAAAAATTTAAAAGTTTAGGTACTTACCTTTACCTGGTAGACCCGCTGTGGACCCTCGGGGCAGTTCTGGTTTCCCTCGCACTGATGGTCTACCACCCGCCAAGGTCCCAGGTGGTAAAACTAATGTAGAGAAGCAATAAGTTTTACAAATTAAGTAATTTACACAAATGAATTCCGCAAAATTATTTACTAATTTTAATGGATTACCCAAAAACAATATATTTTACCGAATCGGATTTTAAAAGATGTCAAGAAAGGCGAAGTCGACTAAAACCAAACCATGTTCCAAAATTAAAATTTGAACTCCGTTTATTATTCTAATAATAGTCTCTGTAATAAAGATTTTTAATAAAATTCATTTATATTTATAAGATTTAATCGGATGACAGTAAAGGACATTCCACATTTAAAAAGCACGGCTCCAACCCAGCCATTAAGTTGTCATTTAGATATGAACTTTAAATCGTATGTCGTATGATACATTTCGTAACTTCAATACAAAAGCCGACGGCGGGTCGTCAGCACGCGGTCTGGTGTAATCGAGGCGTCCGCGTGCTTACGGCGCGCCGCCCGCGCGGCTTCGGCGAGTTGACGGTGAGCCGCCCACCAGACGCCAGCGAAACAACGTCGCATCGAAGGTAGGTATTGTAATGCTACATTTACACTCTCGCGCGAGATGACCCGAGGTTGAGGTACATTGTAGTCTGAGGTGCATTGAGTCTTGCGCCGACCGCGCGCTCGCTAGTTGAAAGCGCGCGGTCACCGCGCCGATGCCGCGCCGGAGCCGTGCTTTTTAAATGGAGTTTCTTGCTTCTTCTCCACTCGAATCGACATTTTGGAACGAGCGCCTAGCTTCACTGACGGACAGACTGACAGACTATTATTTATTTCATATTTGTTGACGTTTCAAAAGTACCAAATTATGGTTTAATTGTTTATTTCAATTTTGAGTTTGAGTTTGAATGTGGGATGACCTTTACGTGTATTTACAGTCCATGACAGTTCATTCTCCCAGACAGGGTTTCCTGTACGTGTGACAATTTACCTGGTAATTTAGTGGGCTGCTTCTTGTGTTCATCTTCGCTATCTTCTTCCGAGGAGCTTGGATCGATCATGTTGCTGCTTCTGTAACAATCAAACACAGTTTATCAGTCATAATGTATGTTAAAGAACTGCCTGAATCTTTGTTCCTGACGTCACATCGGGCTCACCACCATACGTGGCCCGCGACCGCTGCGATCGACGGTCATTCACTCACTCGCTCGCCCGACACGACGCCGTGCGCACATATCGGTTGACCCTTACAATCAGCACTTATTTAAATACAGTCTCTTCTCTTCATACCCAAGTCTTTTATTAGTCAAGACCACCAGCAACACACCTGGAGCTTGATATTCAAACATTGGTCCTTCGAATCAAGAGGATCGCCGTCTTATTAAGCTGCGCATGCCTTCTGTGGACTTTGGACTGGCCGTCCGGACGCGTGGTCGCCTGCAACGTGGAAGACACAGGACGACGACTTAACGAACAGTCTACCCAGAGGGTCATAATTTTGAGTGAGTCCGTTCCATTTATCCTCATTTCCTGTATTTTGTCCATTTCCATTCCAAGGATTTAAATAGTGCTATACGGATCAGGCATGGATTGATCTCTTCATAGTTATAGCTTATTCAGTACATATATAGCCAAAGTAATAGTAATTAAAAATCATTCATCATCACAAATCACGTTTACTATTTAATGTAGAAATCATATTGCATCGAACAATCTGTGCTATAAAGTACCTATAGATATTTCTTTTGTTCGCTTATCGCATGCTTGAACATCTGGTTCTTTAAACTTGAAAAACAACTTTAATATTTTATACAAACTGTTTTTATTGAATGCATATTAGCTAAATCAGCTGTTATTTATCTTCGTCAACTATTGACGTACACTAGTACAGGTACTTGTCACTTGCTTACGTTATTGTTTCTTTGCCTTTTTTGTAATTTTAATCCTTTGCTTCATCTTAAACACCTTTCTGCTTACTCAGTATGTCCGATGCAAAGGTTAAGGAGCTGATAAAGAAGCGTGGCAGCTTCAAAGCCAAGCTTACACATTTTAGTAACTTTTTAAAATTTCTGCCTGACACGGAGTTAGACAGTTTTCAAACAGCAGAGCTACAAAGCCGTCTTAGCCTAATGCAAATACTTTATAAGGAGTATGACGTGTTACAGACCGAGCTGGAAATGTTGTCGGAGAACGCGGACGACATGTATGCCGAAAGGGAGCAGTTCGAGGCGCAGTTCCATGCGCAGCTGGCGCGCGCGCAAACCATTCTGGTTCCTGTGCGTGCATCTTCGCCTGCACTCGAGTCTGCCATTTCCACTGACGCTCTTCAACACCGCGGACCTGACTGCAGGCACGACTTTGTTCGCCTGCCTAAGATAGACTTGCCTCATTTCGACGGGGACTATCAGCACTGGCTCGAATTTAGAGATACGTATATTTCCCTAATCCATAATAATTCCAGCATACAAAACATAAACAAATTCCATTATTTACGTGCAGCCCTAAAAGGTAGTGCATCTTTAATTATAAAAAGCATTGATTTTAAAGCTAATAATTATGATTTAGCATGGCAATTGTTGATCGAAAGATACGATAATGAAAAAATACTTATAAATAATCACGTGCAGGCATTATTTAATTTTGAACATATAAAACAAGAATCTTGTAGTCAATTGCGCAACATGATTGATGTAACTAATAAAAACATACGTGCTTTGTTAACATTAGGGCAGTCTTGTGAGCATGGGAGTCTTGGAGAAACCCTTACAATTTATATTATGTCAGAAAAACTTGACAGAGCTACACGCAGGGAATGGGAGGAATATAAAAATAATTTAGATTCATTTCCAACATTTAAAGGAATATATTAAATTTTAATAACAGAGCTGACTTTTTGGACTCCTTAAATTACAACAGAAACACCACATATTCTAACACAACAAAATATTCTAACGACAACAATAAATCAAAACATATCATACAATAACAAAACCTAAACCTACTTACAATAAGGACGACATTAAATGTCCAGCATGCTCTCAAAATCATTTTTTATTTAGCTGTCAAACATTCAGAAACTTAGATATTGAATCAAGATTAAAAAAGGCAATAGAAAGCAATGTTTGTTTAAATTGCCTTCGACCTGGTCATACAGCAAAGCGTTGCAGTTTATCACATTGCAAATATTGTAAAGTGAAACACAATACCCTTTTACACAGAGATTCATCTACAGAACAACAGGCAGGACACAGTGTTGCGTTATCAACTAATGTTGCTTTACCCTACTCAGATACTAATAACTTTACAATTTTACTATCCACAGCCTTGGCAAAGGTGTCCGATGTCAATGGTGAACTTCATACTGTCAGGCTCCTGTTGGACAACGGCAGCACCTCAAACTTCGTGACCCGAGAGCTATGTGAGAAACTTGGCCTGGTAACGTACAGCACTAACTCCACTGTCACAGGTATTAACGGTCAAGTTTCTAGTACTTCAGAAAGCTGCAATCTTATTTTGCAATCTTGTTACGGTAGTTATCAGGCGAGGGTAAGCTGTTACATCCTGCCAAAGATTGCGCAATCGCTGCCGGGTTCTTACGTCGATAAGAGATATATAGCCATACCGCCAGGTATTCAACTAGCAGATCCTACTTATAACATTCCCGCTGCTGTTGACATCCTCGTAGGCGCTGAGGTATTTTGGGACGTCATAGGTTCCAATACCATTAATTTAGGCAATAAACAACCTAAATTACAATCATCCAAACTCGGTTGGCTTATTTCGGGCTACGTTAGTCAGCTTCGTGTTCGTTCACAACCTTCTGTTTGTCATTTCCTTTCACATGAGGAGTCTGACCAGCTGACTCGCTTCTGGGAACTTGATACTGTGTCGTCTGCTAGCTGCTTTTCTGCAGAAGAGCAAGCTTGTGAAAAGCTCTTTTCCGAGACCACACGTCGGGATCCAAATGGTCAATTCGTTGTCACTATACCTTTAAAGGACTCGCCCGAGTGCTTAGGTGACTCGTATGCGATGGCCAAGCGTCGTTTCCTTTCCCTAGAGCGAAGATTTGAGCGGGACTCGACATTTAAAAACAGGTACTTACAATTCATGCAAGAATATATTGATCTTCATCATATGACACAATATTCAAAACCAATTCATTCAGAAACCCATTACTTTTTGCCACATCACGGGGTCGTACGGGAGTCAAGTACTACGACAAAGCTTCGTGTCGTCTTTGATGCTTCTGCCTCCAGTACCTCGGGCAAGTCTTTTAATGACATTCAGATGGTGGGTCCAACCGTACAGGAGGATCTACTATCCATACTTTTAAGATACAGACAACACAAGTATGTCGTAACGGGCGACATAGAAAAAATGTATCGAGCTATTTTAGTAGAACCATCTCAACGCCCATTGCAACAAATTGTTTTCAGATCAAATTCATCAGACCCTTTAAAAACGTATGCACTGAATACAGTGACGTACGGTACAGCATCAGCCCCATACTTGGCAACTAAATGTCTTGTGTCTCTTGCAGATCAATGTTCAGATCCAGAAGTTAGTCAGTCTATCAGACGTGATTTTTATGTCGACGACTATCTTAGTGGCGCAGATTCAATCGAAGCAGTCACACGCGTATGTCAAGGAGTAGTTAATGCTCTTGAATCTGCTCGCTTTCATCTTAGGAAATGGCAATCTAATAATCCAGAAATATTAAAATCCGTCACAAATATCAACACATATAGCAGTGATAAACAATTAATCTTAAGTGATACTTGCCACAAGACACTTGGGTTATATTGGAACTGCAATACCGACAAATTATTTTATTTTATCGATGTAAAACCAATTACAAAAATCACAAAGCGTAATATTTTATCTTTAATTAGCCAAGTGTTTGATCCTCTAGGTCTAGTTGGACCATGCATAGTTCAGGTCAAACTTATATTACAGCAGCTTTGGATACTCAAATGTAATTGGGATGATGAAGTTCCTCCAGAAATAAAATCACAATTCCTTGAATTCATACAATCACTTTCAGCGCTTAACTCTCTTTACATTCCTCGTTGGGTATCGTGTAATCATGCTACATCACTAGAATTACATACGTTCACAGACGCCTCCGAACGTGCTTATGGTGCATGTATCTACATGAGAACGATAACAGTCGATGGAATAGTTTGCGTTCGCCTGTTAGCTTCAAAAAACCGGGTAGCCCCTATAAAACCCACAACTATACCAAGATTAGAGTTGTGTGGTGCTTTATTGGGTACAAGACTTTTTCTGAAGGTACGTAAATCACTTACTCTAAAATTTCATCATTGTTATTTTTGGTGCGATTCCACGATCGTTCTAGGATGGCTGAAAACATTGCCAAGTCGCCTCGAACAATTTGTTCGCAATAGAGTGAGTGAAATCCAAGAAGCTACAAACGGCCAGACATGGAATTATGTGCCATCTAAAAGCAACCCCGCCGATCTCGCTTCTCGGGGGGTGAAGGCTGATTGCATCAGCTCATCTACTCTTTGGTGGTCAGGTCCTGATTTCATTAATCAAAGTGAGATTCAATTTCCTACTTTACAAAATAATAATACGCATTTATTACCAGAATTAACGTTACACACAACAGCTGACATGCATAACATAACTAACATTAATCTAATTTCCAGTTTAATTCATAATAAATCTTCATTTACGTTATTGATCAGAGTAGTGGCCTATATAAAAAGATTTATAAATAATTGTAAAAAACCGACTAATAAACAATCATCTTACCTAACAGTATCAGAGTTAAAATCATCACAAAATCTTTTATTACATATTTCCCAGCAGGAAATGTTCCCTAAGGAATATACATGTCTTAAATCTAATCAGCCCTTACATAAAAAGAATCGATTAATAAGTCTTTCTCCATTCATTGATTCAGACAATCTAATACGCGTTGGTGGACGTCTTAACAATTCACATTATAGCTACGATGTTAAACATCCTATACTATTATGTAGCAAACATCATATAACACAACTTATATTTGAAAAAGAACACATTGTACTGTTTC